GGCCTCGCCGAGCTGCGAAGGATTGACATCGTGAATCTAAGGAGAGTACTGTGGGAAGCATGATTTCCATATTCGTACTAAAATATAAATTCAAATTAAATATAAATTCAAATTATGAACACAGGTAGGTAACCTTTTCACTTTGGGTAGCAATATTAAAATTGTATAACGGATCAACTATTAATAGTTGATCCGTTATACAATTTTAATATTGCTACCCAAAGTGAAAAGGTTACCTACCTGTGTTCATACATTGCAGACATGTTGAATATTAAAGATAAACTGATTGAAGTTAGTAAAGCGAGAGCGTGGCTCTGGTTAAAACCAAAATCGTATCCAACCCTACTATACAAATACAAAAACGCAATACAGTATACACACAATCCAACTAATCATGTGCCTATGCATACTACGTGTCGCGTACTAAGCAAGTGCAAGGGCTAAGTTATGGTTAGAGCAATAAACATAACAGCTGAGGGGCAAAGTGCAACTTTACAGCTGCTTATAACTGGTGCTAACTGCTACTTAATGCTATGTAATATGTTTTACTCTTGATGCAGGGTTATGCATTCAGTATTATCTGAGCAGTTACATATATATTTCTTTACATAAGAAAGTAAGCCTCCTCCTTAGCAAGATTTTCTAACTGGGGCTTGGTAGACTGGAGGATGAAAGCTAATCAATTGGGCCTCTTATTTTACCCCAAACTTTTAGTTAATTAGCTAGTTGTGTACAAGAAGTGGGATTTATCATAGCTCCAATTGCATTCGGTGGTGGCTTGAGTACATGTATTGCATCACAATACGACATAATACGTGCATTATATAAGGCTCCAACCGGTATCATATGAGACACTTGAAGGTTATCTGAGAGCTAGTGGCTACATAAACTAGTATGGGAATTGGGATAATGTGAACCTCTATAAGGTTTTTTCTATACGGGGTACTTTTTGATTCACCCCAAAATATAGAATGTACTGACAAATTTTCACAATGTATAAAATCCTCGTTTATGTTGGATGTAATTAATGGTGTCTCATCATATAGAATTAACAATAGCGTTTGCTATTTCTGCACTCCAGCTCTGTGACAACCACATAAAGTGTTTTGGAGTCTTTGCTAAGATAGCAGGGTCCCATACAGTGTATACGTGCATTTCTAACCAAACCAAGTAATCCACAATCTTTTTTAGTTAATTTTTATTAAAAATAGTATAGAAATGTATGCCTCTGTTACTTTAATTAACATAACAATGACCAACCTGTTGTCCTTTTAGTTGTACTCCAAATTTGTTCTATACTTCTTCAAAAATGTTTACCCTGTAAATAATTGTACATAATTCTTACGAAATGTCAAAGTGAGTAACCATAATTTAATGGTTACCTTCATGCCCATGGTTTAATGTTTTAACCCATCATACCAATATACCATACTTAATAATCATTAACTTATTATTTATATATTTTTGTTTTGATTCTTAGTCCTTAGAAGAGCACTCTATTAACAGTTTTTCATTGATTTGAATGTCCTGCACAGCAGAATGAAGCATTCTGCTGCTTAAAATTATTTACTATTTTTATTGTGTTGCTGTGTAAATTTGATTATAATTCTGAATTCCTATACGAGAGGCCCGGTATATAGAGGTTTCACTAAAATATAGGGAACACTGAACAGAACTCATTTTACAGACTACATATTGTTAGTATTAGTTTTGCAAAATTTTGCTTTGGCAAGATACCTATTAATCAAACAGATTATAATCCTTAATCATTTTCAGTGTAACAGCATGTCAAATCCATGGATCCCGCAGCCAAGCAATGCAGGGAGTTTACCGTGTAGGAATGACGCAAGTTGTTATTTCTTGAAAAATGGACACTGCTGGTACTTCCATCCTCCTCACCACTACACGCACAATCAGAGAGTGAATGAAAGGCAACCAACTACCACAAGCAACAGCAGCTCCAACCCTTCTTCAGAAGAAAACTCTAATCCATTTAGTCAACCATATAATAACAGTAGTGCTATCAGTAATGATGTTCCTAATGTTTTCAACACAACACACCCACCAACCAGAAATCAAGGTAATAGCAATCAAACTATAAGCAGTAATCGTAATGCCAGGAGAAGGAGAAACCAAAGACAAAACCGAGCAGCAAGAAACAATTCGAACAACTCTCATTCATCTCACCCACCGAGAAGTGCTCCTTCTATCCAGTCTCCAGTTACTAAGCGAACAAGAATTGATACTCCAGAAATTGAGTCGCTTCATATGTCAAGTCTAACTATTCAATCTTCAAATGATAAAGAAATCACCATCGAAGCTTTTCAATGTCCAATCAGCATGGAGGTATTGATCTTTCACAAACAATCCACCTTTTAATCATATATAGTATGCTTGTTTTCTGTAGATGATTAAACATCATTGCTTCCATTTGTGAACCTCAACAACCATTTGAAGATTTACAGTAATAAATGATATTATCGTCTCTATTTCAGGCTATGTCAGATCCTGTGGTTGCTGCAGATGGACACTCCTATGATAGGATTTGTATAGAGCAGTGGTTACGTCATAATAACAGAAGTCCTATGAATAACACCATCTTGCAGCACAAGAAGCTCTTGCCAAATTACACATTGAAAAAGTGTATTTTGGAGTGGAACACTTTGAAAACTGTTCTGTCACCAGAGATTTGATTTTCTGAATTAAAGTTTTCTAATCCAGAAAATGTAATTAAAGTTTTAAGCCCGTATGGTTCATATTGAAAATGTGGGCATATTTCATTGTAGTAGCCAGATTTGGGAATCCGCAGTGGATTTTCAGATACCAGTGATGTATAAAGTATAACCCCCTAATCAAATTTAATTTACATAATGTATTTAAATTACAAAATAACACCAAAAGTGAATGTTATAATATAGTTCCACAAATAAAATGAGGATGAAACATGTGAAATCAATGTTATTGAAAGGTTACATGGTAACTCTACCGGCTACCATGGCAACTCCACTGGTAATTACAGTAAAACCCAGATTTACCGCAAACCCTGATTTACCGCAAACCCCCAATTTACCGCAGCCATTTTCTTTCCCCAAATACGGCTTAACATACATAATTCCAAGAACCAAAACCCCGATTTACCGCAAACCCTGATATACTGCGGCATTTCTCTTTCTCCCAAACACTGCGGTAAATCAGGGTTTTACTGTATCTAACTAACCTATGAGATTTTAATGAAAGAAAGCTTTCAAATTTGAGTTTAATTTCTAGTTGTAAACTTCTGATGTGATGAAATCAACTCTTTGTAAACAGTAGGTTTACCATATATAATAATCGTAAATACAGTTATCAAATAATTTGGGATTTTTCAACAAATCAAATGCAATTTCTGTACATCGACTTTGCTGTACTTATGATCAATTTCTTCAAACCCTTAAAAAACCAAACACCTAATATACCTATATAAACCAACCTAATATATGCTGAACCATTCCTCTAAACTACCTGACAACTTTAAAGACACACAAATCCTTAAGGGTCCTATTTAACTATCTATGGCTATAATATATGATAACCATTACTTTATTATACATTATTGTACATTATTCGGCATTATTCGAAATATTGAATGTGGTGTTAATCTTCATGAGCAAGTACACATAATTTAAATTTGTACTTTGCGTATCCCTGTATCACTTGAACTCTATAACTGTCCTTTGTACAAAATTAATATTTATTTATAAAATAACTTCCATGGGTTTCAAGAATTATTCCTGTGTTGATTTGAGTATAAACGAAAGATGCAAGGTAGCAATGTAATGTATCACCCTGTAATTTGTATTTAACATTATAATTGACGATCTTGACATGCAGAATCCGTATTCCGTAATAAACTTGTTGTAAAGTTTAATTTTTATAGCATATATTGTGTTCGGTAAATTATAGCCGCCAATGTTCTTGCCATACACTGGCACATAGTGATAAATTTTAATTTCAGTTTATCGATTGTTTAAATCATTTAAAAAACCACAGTTTCAAGATTTTAATAAAATTGAAGTTTTAATTTGATTCTGTAACGTTACTGTAATTGATGTTCAGTAACATGGAATCAGATACTTTTAAATCAAATGATGTAATAATATGGTAACCACATTGCATGAATGAGAGTGAGGTTATTTCACCGCACTCTCAACAGTATCTGTTTAATATTGTATTATCACCTGCAACTATGACTTACCATTTTGAGGTTACCCCAACAATCCAACAATCAACAATCAACATGATTATATAGCTGATATATGACCCGAAATCAGCATTATACTATATTACAACAAATGCCATGTGCTATGGTTTCGGTTTCGTAAAAAGTGATTATACACAATATGTTTCTAGAGTCATAGTTTAGACTGAATTATTTGTCCTCAATCAAAGCAACAAAGCATTTAAATTGAACAAAATAAACGAGATAAAAAACGAAAGCAATTCGAGAATTTTTAAATTTCATTCTTGCAGCAGACCTTTTCCTTCTTTTCAAGCAAAAATTTATTCAAAAGAGTTTTGCGCACGATTTGCAATAGTTGGGCGAGAATAAGCCAAGATTTGTACGAGTATGATATCGAAGTTATCACAGATTCGTTCTATTGTGAAGTTGGCAGTTGCAGGTGAAAATTATTATTTTTAAAACATTTTCAGTATTTGTATTACGAATTAATAGTTAAATTAAAACATTAACCAACATGACCAGTTTGTATAGGTTTGTATCAGTTTGTACTTTTGCATAACTAAATTTGTGTTTTATTATCACGCAAAGAATTTATCGTTATCTGACTGTGGGAATCATGATTTTGTGACATTAAATTTGTTGTCTCAAACACCACCTGCTGACCATTTGAAATTTTTAATAATATAAAGGTTTTATAAAATTAATTGTTTTTATAAAACTCAAACTCTTTAACTCTATATAGATATCGTTATCTTCAACTAAACATGCTATTAATAGACGATGTTAAGGGCGCTGCAAGCAACAACCCCTCTGCTGAGCCGTTCTTTCTGGTCACATGTACCAATGGGACCTCCAGATCCTATTATCGGTGTAACAGAAGCATTCAACAGAGACACTAACCCTAATAAGATGAACGTTGGGGTCGGAGCTTACAGAGACGATTCCGGTTTCAAAACATAACGATATAATTTTGAGGCTGGCATATACCAATCGCTTCATAATGCAGTCTTTCTTTGCGAAATACGATGATTCGTATTCGATATCGTGCTGTTGCTCCTTCCTACTAAACCTGATTAACCTTTACGCTCAGGAAAGAAACCTGATTAACAGTTCCATTTACAGGAAAGCCGTTCGTTTTACCATCAGTACGGGCTGCAGAAGAGAAGTTACTTTCCCAGAACCTAAACCACGAGTACCTGCCTACACATGGGTGCCCTCACTTCAGGCAAGCTGCCAAGATCCTGGCTTTTGGGGAGGACAGTGTTGCTGTTAAGGAGAACCTCGTTGCTTCCGCTCAGTCGATTTCAGGTTACCTTCATGTTACTTGTTTGTGTGTAGCTGCAGTAGTGGTGAGTTTGTACCAATGCCGAATATCTTTGTAGATATATCCCTAGATACAGAGAGAATATCTACTTCTTAGAAAATCACTTTTAAAAGGAGATATTTTATGATTTCTTTGAAAATCTTCCTAAATATCTCCTTCTATTCTGATTATTTTTCGTTTGTAAAAGCTCCTCTTCAAAAATCTTCCAAAATCTCTTTTTATATTCTGATGATTTTCCGTTTATCATTTAAGCTTTCTTTTGGAATAGAACTTTGAGTACCTCAATCGTGTCTTATGCCATCCTCAGTGACCTTGTAAGATGGTCATTCAAGAAAAATTCAGTCAAAACAGTGAAATTCAGGTCGCGGAAAGCTGAAATTCGAATATGTCCTACCGCGCCGGTAAGACATATTCAAAATGTTCATTGCATCAAAGGTTTCTCCGGATATACTGCTTCCAGTACCTTGATGGCGACTTGTGTCACTCTCACTGAGTACTGACCTTGTTCACTGGTCAAAAATGCAGACAAAACCGCGAAATTTCGGTCAAGGAAACGCCGTTTCCTTTCCGAAACGGCAGAAAAGCTTATATCTGACCTGTAATTTAATAACATTTAACCTTATCTATGACATCCACAGGTACGGGTGGTCTTAGAATTGGAGGTATGTTTCTGAAAAAGTTCCATAGCTCCAAGCAGCTTTACCTTCCATCACCTAGCTGGGGGAACCACACACCTATATTCAAGTTAGTATGCTGAAGAAAAGGCTTGTAATTGGATGAAATTCTGGTCTTCAAAGAGACATTTAATTGTAAAGCCTTAAAATGTTGATGTTTTATCGTAAATTTGAAGCTTCAACTCATAAATGACCATTCCTTGTTATGTTATTTAAACTCAAAACGTCAGGGAAAGTGGACTGGAAATCAAATCATACTCATACTACAAAAAAGACACGAAATCTCTCGACTTGGAGAACATGTTAGCTGACATAGGTAAAATAGAGGAGGGAGCCACGATACTACTTCATGCGTGCGCGCACAACCCAACTGGAGTAGATCCAACCCCCGAGCAGTGGGACCAAATATCTCAGGTAATGTAGAATTGTTTTATGAACTGGTTGATGGTTCTCCCCAGGCTAAATCCCGGGGGTATTGATCATACCATGTTATCACATTTCAATGATCATGACTACTAGTAATAAATATCTTACCAAATGATGTCATCATAAGATACTGATACCCAAAATTTACCTCCAGGCTATAAAAAAGAGGAATCTACTGGTATTTATTGACATGGCGTACCAAGGCTTCGCCAGTGGCTCTGTTGAAAAAGACGCCTACGCAGTCCGCAAATTCATTGCTGATGGGCACAGAATCCTTCTGTCTCAGTCCTTCGCGAAGAACATGGGCGTGTATGGCCAGCGATGTGGTGCATTCTCTATTGTTGCTGAAGACGCTGAGTCCGCTGCAGCTATTGAATCCCAGCTGAAGATAATAATCCGCCCTCTCTACTCCTCACCTGCTCTGACGGCTGCTCGGCTGGTAACCACCGTCCTTACAGACCAGCAACTCCACAAACAATGGCTTATAGATGTAAAAGGGATGGCGGACAGGATAATATCCATGAGATCAGCGCTGAAAGCGGGGCTAGCCCGGGAGGGATCAGTCCACAACTGGGACCATCTCACCAACCAGATTGGGATGTTCTGTTTCACGGGCATGAATCCTGAGCAGGTAGAGCGGCTTACCAGGGAGTTTAGTGTGTATCTGACGAAAGATGGGCGTATTTCTGTTGCTGGCGTTAGTTCAAAGAATGTGGATTATTTGGCTAAGGGCATGCATGAAGTAACCAAATAACTGAATAACTGTGTACGGAGTTCAGAGGGTTTGGAGCTCATAGTTAGGACAAATTCTATTATTCTAGGAAATTTAGAAGAAAAATAGTGGTCAATCTTCTATATACCATTTTAGGCTCACTATGTACACAATCTTCATGAACAGTTACCTGCTGACCAGTTTAAATCTGCTATTCATTATTTTTGACGTGGTTTCCAAAGCTTTATTCGATGGGTTTAACTATTTTAAGGAAACGTTTTATCGATGCTGGGCATCTAATATTTAGTAACTTAATCAAGTTTAAAGTAGAAGTTTTACTGTCGTGTTTTTAAACCGAAAGTATTTATAGTTTAGCATGGTGAAACGTAAATTATTATATTAACATCTTCATAGTTCATACATTATCATTTATCATTAAGTGTAAACAAGGATTCATTTCCAATAATCATTTTACGATCATGACAAAAACTTTGACAATGCAGGACAGCAAGATACTATGTCATCAAAGTTGTTGAGTGCCAATGGATCTACCAAAATAGGTTTTTCAGTAGACCAAACAGATAGTTGTTACTGTAGATAGGTTCCGACAACAGGAGTGCTGCGGCCCGCCCGCTCACCTAGTCACTTGTTAGACTCCGCCACAGCCAAGCGACTAATAGTGAGGGGTTAAGGTACCATACGGGAATAACTCTCTCCAAGGATTAAACCACCGAGAACAGGTCATAGCCAACTCATTAATAAAACACAAGGTTATATTTGAAATCCATAAAAGCATCAAGGATGTCACTCCCAGATCTTGACCACCAGTTGGAGGATGAAGCGTAGCATGAGGCGTCACTGAATTTCCGCAAGGGATCAAACAATGGATCAAACATTTACGATCAAATTGTATTATAGCGCTCGATTGGAATTGATTTGTCTTTTATACAAATTATTGTTTAAATTGTCAATTTCTTTTACGTAAAAACCAAATAAATGTTATAGACCGATCTATAACGATACGTAATATCCAGATCCGGAATTTTGCAACGATTATGAGTACATTTTTCAGATTTTTCTAACTTAGCACCAGATCAGGTAGTGACGAATGAAGTGAGCTAGAAGTTGAAACGAGTTGAGATCTAAAAATGACCTGACGTCATTAGACTAAACACGTGACGTAATCAGACGGTTTTAGGGATCTCTTCTTTCTTCCTTCTTCCTTCTTCTACATATAATAATCTGCAGTAAAATGAAGGAGAATGTCAGCGGTGAGATGGTTATTTTTGTTTATTATTGTTGATTCGAAAATATGTCTCGATCACATACAGGGGGGGGGGGGCGGGGGGTTGCCACGTGTCACCCCCTCCCATACATAATAATATAATATTCTCACTTAACGCAATAGTATTTCTCAGTAATTTAAGAAAATTTGACTGTAATTTATGGATTTTCATCTAATTATAGCTATAGCACCAAAGAACAAGTTTTTCAAACAGGAATATCCGGTTTGGAGAATAATGATCGAATTTAGTGATAACAATCATTTCGTTGCATTCTGCAGGAATTTTCAGATAAATATCTTTCAACCTTTCGTAGCTAGTAATTTTGCACTTTTCTAGAAATCATGACAGGTAAATCGTTGATATTATGTTTGATATAATATTATAATATCAAGCATGATATCTTCTTGACGTTTCTTATTTGTTGTACCTTGTCCTTATTTCATAACCTATCTCCCTTTACACAAAGCCCCATTTTAGAAGCACTGCGAAGCGAGCTGTCCCGGAGGATGATGTACATGGATGGTGGTATGGGAACCATGATACAAGAACTCGACCTCAAGGAGGCTGACTACCGAGGTTTGAACTGTTAATTGGGATGAAAACTGTTAACTTTTCATAGTTATAAAATAATGTAGATTTTTTTGATTCATTAAATTTGAAGCAACTACTGACTCAACCTTATAATAATTTTATTAGCTGTAGTTAAATAAAGTCTAAACAGGAGAACAGTTCTCCGAGCACCCGTGTCCGCTGATTGGTAATAACGACCTCCTCTCAATTACACAACCTTATCAGATCAAGAAGATTCACAAAGTTAGTTTTACCATATTTTCTAGGTTTTCGTTTACATTTTCCTATCTGTCGGGTTTCTTGTCTTTACATAACTTGGAAACTGCTGAAAACTTCAATTTTTTCTCTGGTATTAAACCGGGGTTTTAATTTATGGGTAGTGACACTGCCAGGTGACATCGATAAAATGGTATTTGTCGTGGAAGAGATGCTCTGCGTCCGATAAGAGAATTAACTTATCAATTTACAAAGACTTAAATTTTTAACAAAGTTAAATTTTAACAATTCTTAATATAACCGGAGTACGTAATAATGACCAGATTATACTGCATTGTAAAAGTTTAATTAATATACAGGCTACGTCTGGTACTACCAGTACTGGTAAAATTGCAGTCCGGTCTGTAAGTTCATGACACTTATTTCTTCGTCAAACCCAAGCAGCTGTATGCAGCCCCCCGCCCCCCCCCCCCCCCCCCCCCGCCCCCGCTCAACCCCCCCCCCCCCCCGGTGGAACTGCAACTACCAACATGACATAAAAACAACCTTATATATATATATATGATATACAGGGTGTACCACAGTATATCACATCAACTCTAATCTTTTTACAGGACTATCTACTGACTGGAGGAGCAGACTTCATTTCTACCAACACTTTTAACTCAACAAGCATTGCAATGGCTGATTACCAGATGGAAAACTTGGTATGATAGTTAATAGTATGATTTAGTTTCATTCAAAATACATTTTCTCTTTCCTACCCAATATTGAGGATAAAGTTTATTAAACTTTCCTATCCTGTTTTTACAAACTGTAATCCGTCAAATTTGGAACTGACACCCCCCCCCCCCCCCCCTAATCTTTACTCCCTTAGTAAATGTGATTTCTCCCAGGTGTACCAGCTGAACATGGCTGCAGCGAAGGTAGCAGTAGAAGCAGCCCAGGAAGTGACGTGTGAGACAGGAGTAGTGAGATATGTTATCGGAGTCCTGGGTCCCACTAACAAGACTCTGTCTTTATCTCCGAGTGTGGAGGACCCTGCTTTTAGGAATACCAGTGAGATTTTAGTAAAAATGAGAATCTCAGAAAATTGATGATAAAACGTCAGCGAATTATTAAATACAGTAACATAATATCATAATATATTATATAGTATATAATAGTTGTGCTAGTGATCATCTGTACAGCGGAGAGATCAAATCTCAGCTTGGTTGTCCGCCGGGGTAATAGTTACGTGCTCCAGCCTGGGTAATAGTTACGTTGTCCAGCCTGTGCCGCTTAGTTAGCTTAGTTAGCTTAGTTAGCTTAGTTAGCTTAGTTAGCTTAGTTAGCTTAGTTAGCTTAGTTAGCTTAGTTAGTGTATGACGTCATATCTTATCAGCGTTTGACGAGCTGGTAACAGCGTACACGGAACAAGCCACAGCACTACTCGACGGAGGCGTGGATATTCTCATGGTTGAGACCATATTTGATACTCTCAACGCTAAGGCCGCACTTTTTGCCATCAGTCAGCTGTTGGAGACGGACAAATATACACATTTGGATGTTCCTATTTTTGTAAGTTTTTATAATATCACGGATTTGATGAGTGAGTGAATTTTTTTCAAAAAAGTTATTATTTACGAATGAATTGGGTGCATTTTTGTGAAATATGAAATTGAAGAGAAAAACATAAATATTATGTAGTATACTAGTAGTAAATAGAGATATTACTACCACTTTCCTTTTATTTATTCTCTGGATTTTGACTAAAATAACTTTCTTCCGCTGCGAATAAAGTTGAACTCAATACATTCCGCAGATTTCTGGAACTGTAGTAGATCTAAGTGGACGGACCTTGTCCGGACAAACAGTTGAGGCTATGGTAACGTCCCTAATGCACTTCAAACCTCTGTGTATGGGGCTCAACTGTGCTCTGGGTGCTACTGAAATGAGACAATTCATTAGAGAACTAGGTTAGTTGGCTGCTAAATGGTAATTAATGGTTCTCTTATTTTTCACTATTTATTTTAGTATGTTTTCGATCGTTTGCAAAGAATAATTCATATGCATATGAATTATTCTTTGCAAACGATCGAAAACATACTAAAATACCATATATATGGTCACGAGCGACAATTTGTAGTGCCAGAATTCTGCAGAATTCTGACTCCATGAAAATTAATTCTAAACCAACTTTTTAAACAGGTGAGTTTTGTGATACGTATGTGAGTTGTTATCCGAACGCTGGACTACCTAACGCTTTTGGAGGATACGATGATTCTCCAGAGGAGATGGCTGAGATTCTACAGGTTTTTATAAACGGCTAGTTTTTTAATCAATAGAGTAACCCGGGTTTCCTATCATTATTGCTCGAGAACCGTAGAGTAACCAAGTAACCAAATAACCAAGTAACCAAATAACCAAGTAACCAAGTAACCAAGTAACCAAATAACCAAGTAACCAAGTAACCGAGTAACCATGTAACCAAGTAACCAAATAACCATGTAACCAAGTAACCAAATAACCAAGTAACCAAGTAACCAAGTAACCATGTAACCAAGTAACCAAGTAACCATGTAACCAAGTAACCATGTAACCAAGTAACCAAGTAACCATGTAACCAAGTAACCATGTAACCGAGTAACCAAATAACCAACTCCTCTCCTCAGGAGTGGTCGGACTCAGGACTAGTGAACATACTGGGGGGTTGTTGTGGTACCACACCGCAACATATCAGAGCTATTGTAGAAGCAACTAAACATGCTCCTCCCCGCTTACCGCACTCTAAACTGGACACCTTCAAACTCACTCTATCTGGTGAGAATAGTGTTTAATGATGAGCCCTTATTTTTCTTCGTGTTACTAGAGTCAGTGAATGCGTGAGGGGACTGAAGTGTCCGTCAGTTATGTGTTTTTAGTCGAGCTGTTATAACTTGTTTTAGCCGCATCGTTCATTTTATAACAAAACCATTTTTCAGGTCTTGAACCCATGTTGGCGTTTGAAGAGAGCAACTTTATCAACATTGGGGAGAGGTGCAATGTGGCCGGTTCAACTGTATTCAAGAAACATATAATGAACGATGATTTTGCAGTGAGTATAACAGTGTTTGATGCAATTTTATTAAATCTAGACATCTATAATGTATACAGTATAACAGTAACAGCTGTCAACAACGAAAATTTTCTCATTTTTGGTGGAAAATATGGATTGCGCCGTGTACATTGTAAAGGAAAATGGCGCGCAAATGCTATTATTTTGGCGCGCATGCATGCATGCAGTTACCTAAATACCTTAATTCCCAAAAATTTGGGCGACAAAAAATTTGAGCGGGCCTCTCGCCCAAATTTTTTGCAGACCAAATAAATTGCATAAATCTTTTCCGTCTGCTAAATTTTTTGCTAACCAAACTTTTGGCATTTAGCCTGTGGCCCTGAGATCTTTACACTTTAGAAAGATGGCTTTTTCTTCATATCCAAGTGAAATAATATTTGAAATTTTAGTTTTCTAATCTGTCATTCATGGCTTAACCAAGTGAAATGACAGATTTCACTAGAAATTAACGATTTTTAGTGGAAAATCGTTCATTTTTCGAAGAATTTGTGCCCAAATTTTTGGTCGCCCAAATGAGTTCAAATTTTCTGCCCAAATTTTTCGGGCTCAAATAAATTGTGCTCAATATAATGGCACACAAATTTTTGGGAACTAAGGTATACTTAGAGGAATCACGCCGAATGTTAGTTTCTCGGAAATATAGTTTCCCAATCTTGCATCTCGCCTGATGCCCAATGCGGGCAATGCCCATTACATCCCTTCATAGAAAGCCGAAAAGGGCTGCTTTATTTGACCGAGTGCAGTGGATAGAATTAAGTCCCAGAGGTAGACCGAAGTTAAAAGGTCATAGTTATAGAACCTGAATAAATACCTAACCTTCACAATATAACACGTGATGTCGGGAAAATCAGTAACGACAATTTTCTTAATGCTAATAATTTTTATTCAAATTTGTTTACGCCAAAAAATAAAATCAGATATCTGAAGATGGTGAAATCAACATGTTTTCTTCGTGCAGACAACTGCTCCGTTTCTGAGACAGGTGCAGACGTTGCAATCGTCCCTGATTTGCTCTCCCTCGTTGTATTCCTTGCCTTTGTATTCACAAGCTGCCCAAGCTTTGTCATCATCACAAATCTTTTTCGTGCAAGCAACTGCTCCATCTCTGAGACACCTACAAAGGTTACAGTAGTCCTTGAATCTGTCTCCTTCCTCGTATTGTTCGCCTTTATAATCGCAGGTGTCTTTGGTTTCTTCATCGCAGTTCTTTTTTGTGCAGACAACTTTTCCACTTCTTGTGCAGCCACAGTTGTTGCAATTGTCATGGAATCTCTCTCCTGCTTCGTATTGCTCACCTTTGTACTCACAAATGACGATAGTATCGTCATCACAATCGTCTCCGTCCGCTGTGCAAATAACTTTGCCATCTCCGAGACAGTGACAGAGGTTGCAGCCGTCTTTAAAATCTCCAGCTTCGTAATGTTTACCTTTGTACTCGCACATGGCATCACAGTTTTTTTCAGTGCAGATAACTTCCCCAGTTCTGGTGCAGCCACAGTTGTTGCAGTCGTCCTTGAATCTTTCTCCTGCTTCGTATTGCTCACCTTTGTACTCACAAGTGGCTTCACCATCGTCACGATCACATGCTTTTGATGTGCAGACTACATTTCCATCTCTGAGGCAGTGGCAAATGTTGCAGTCGTCTTTGAATTCTCCAGCTTCGTATTTTTCACCTTTGTACTCACAAGTGGCTTCAACGTCGTCACGATCACAAGCCTTTGATGTGCAGACTACATTTCCATCTCTGAGGCAGTGGCAAATGTTGCAGTCGTCCCTGATTGCATCTCCAGCATTGTACTCCCTGCCTTTGTGTTCACAAGTTGCTTTGTCTTCGTCATTATCACAGTTCATCTTCGTGCAGACTACTTCTCCAGTTCTGGTGCAGCCACAGTTGTTGCAGTCGTCCTTGAATCTCTCACCAGCCCTGTATGTTTCACCTTTGTGCTCACAACCTACGGGTACTGGTCTGTCACCTCTCACTGACACTGCAGCTAGTACCAGTATGACAATCACTAACATTATCTTCATCTTTAATTCCTTGAAGAGTGAAAAGGTTAAAATGAGTTGTTGGATTAAAGAATTGAAACTATAATTGTACGTGTAAAAGTTCATATGAAAAAAGCTCTGTCTATAACTGATAGTTAGGACATCAAGGAACATCGTCCTACATTAGCAAAAGTTAGCTGTGGTGTAAATTGTAAAGTCATATTAATTACATATGTAATTAATATGTATACATGTTGGTAAAATGGATCAGTCTTTAAACGTTTAAAAGAGAGATCGTTTAGCAGTAAGTGACCCAGTCCAGGGCGAGAAAAATCTTTAAGGAAGCCCTTTCCGCTGCAATGAGAACATCAGAAAATATCTACTTTCCTCCGACTCCTCCGCCCCTTTTAAACGGCTTAACGTCCTTTGTTGATTTGTTTTACACATCTGGATCAGTGTGAAAAGTTTTTTATAATAAGGTCTATTTGTTAAATCCTTTGTTAAATCGTTTTTAACTTTAGAGTGTGAGAAGGTTTTTTAAAGAAATGTTTCTCACACTATAGAGGCGAAAATGACTCTTTTGTTAACATGTTTTTGTGCGTTAAGGAAATTTAAAAACCGCGATAACACGCCCATGACGGGCTCTAACCACAATAACAATTTTGCAATTTTAACATGAAGTTAGCTGGTAGTCGGGCTAATGCTCAGAGGGTGGTATATTTTGTTTTAAAGTGTGAACTGCGAGGACGAGATAGATGTTTTTTGTTATAAACTGATAAATAGCTTAATTGAACCTATTGTATTTTTATATAACACCTTTCCTCACTCCATCCTGAGCTAGACTAACAATGAGAATCTTTGTGTTTGCACCAATAGTAGTAGTATACACGCCATCTCCATGCAGTCCATTAAAACTATAAAAACAGAGTGAGGCTGGTCGTGGTGTTATGACGTTTCCTTTGTAAGTATCAAATATCATTACCGAAAAGTCAAGAAAAATGAAAATATAAACCTAAAAATATAAACGTACGATGTTTCTGCGTTCGTGAATTCCGCGTTATTTGACCATTATTGATCTCCACGAATAATAAATACACGATCTAAAATAACCGAGTTTAACCGGCGCGGAGGTTCTTTTTAGTTTAGTTTCATATTTCTCACCAGGCAGCACTAGAGATAGTTTAGTTAAAACTAAACACATTTCTCACCAGGCAGCACTAGAGATAGTTTAGTTAAAAGTAAACACATTTCTCACCAGGCAGCACTAGAGATAGTTTAGTTAAAAGTAAACACATTTCTCACCAGGCAGCACTAGAGATAGTTTAGTTAAAACTAAACACATTTCTCACCAGGCAGCACTAGAGATAGTTTAGTTAAAACTAAACACATTTCTCACCAGGCAGCACTAGAGATAGTTTAGTTAAAACTAAACACATTTCTCACCAGGCGGCACTAGAGATAGTTTAGTTAAAACTAAACATATTTCTCACCAGGCAGCACTAGAGATAGTTTAGTTAAAACTAAACACATTTCTCACCAGGCGGCACTAGAGATAGTTTAGTTAAAACTAAACATATTTCTCACCAGGCAGCACTAGAGATAGTTTAGTTAAAACTAAACATATTTCTCACCAGGCGGCACTAGAGATAGTTTAGTTAAATCTAAACACATGTCTCACCAGGCAGCACTAGAGATAGTTTAGTTAAAACTAAACACATCTCTCACCAGGCAGCACTAGAGATAGTTTAGTTAAAACTAAACACATTTCTCACCAGGCGGCACTAGAGATAGTTTAGTTAAAACTAAACACATTTCTCACCAGGCAGCACTAGAGATAGTTTAGTTAAAACTAAACACATTTCTCACCAGGCGGCACTAGAGATAGTTTAGTTAAAACTAAACACTTTTCTCACCAGGCGGCACTAGAGATAGTTTAGTTAAAACTAAACACATTTCTCACCAGGCAGCACTAGAGATAGTTTAGTTAAAACTTAACACATTTCTCACCAGGCAGCACTAGAGATAGCCAGGAGACAGATTACAGAAGGTGCACAGATCCTGGATCTTAACTTTGACGACGGAATGATTGACGGGGAGAAAGCCATGGCTCATTTTGTGAACCTGATTACGTGTGAACCTGACGTTTCTAGAGTCCCACTCTGCATCGATTCCTCGGACTTTCAGGTCAGTTCTCTCGTCCTAACTCCAATAATTGATCGACCCTTACTTTTACCCGCTTAGCAACTCTTGTGGAAAAAACTTGATCATAACTTTAACGCATTAACAATTCAATTCACTTTCCCAAATATTGAAGCTACCTGACCTCAATCGTCCTTATTTATATTTGTTTTGAACAAATATCATTTTAACGAGTACGCCCAATTGGCTGCCCCGCCCCCCCCCCCCCCCCCCCCCCCCGGCCCCCCCCCCCCCCCCCCCCCCCCGCCAAGATAAACTACACAGGTAATAGAGGCGGGGCTGAAGTGCACTCAAGGGAAGTGTATTGTTAACAGTATCAGCTTGAAGGAGGGTAGGGAGGAGTTCCTTGCCAAGGCAGCTATTGTTAAAAGATATGGTGCTGCTGTGGTTGTAATGGCTTTCGATAAGCAGGGCCAGGTCAGCAGAAAGTATATCAACTTTCATCATCCAGGCTGTTAAATTCGCCAAATTTTCGTCAAAAAGTACGGCGTATTTAGAGTTCTCAGAAAGTACGCGAATAATTCGCCAATTTACAACTTCAAGTTTTAATTTTTAGGGCTGTTAGTGTTAAATTCGCCAAAAAATGCGCAGAAAATTCGGTAAAAATGCGGCAGTGGGAACTCGCAGCATTCTCGAGTACTAACCAGTAACCACGCACGTGTTGCGGGAAGCACATGTTTTGGCAATATTCCACCATACAAAGCCAACTTTCGTGAACAATTTGATGTGGGCACGTGATTTCCTGTTTCCGTATTTTTTTAAATGCGGCAATTTTCAAAAAAAAATCGTACGCGAATTTAATTCGATTAATACGTTTAGTGCGAATTTAACAGCATTGTTTATCATTCCAATAATTTGTAGTTGAATTAGTTAAATACATACATCACATTTATGTGAATCAATAATTCAACATATTAATTAATAATTTAACCACGACCGCGACCGTCTTTCCACGTATTGTTTTTAAAACTCTAGTATTACCTGCTACATAATATACCCTATACAGGCGGACACGTTTAAACGGAAGATAGAGATCTGTAAACGGTCCTATGATCTGTTGGTGCATGAGGGTGGGTACAACCCTACAGACATTATATTCGACCCTAACCTGCTAACTATTGGAACCGGGCTGGTGGAGCATGCCGAGTATGGCCGGGACTTCATCAGGGCCACTGAGTGGATCAAGGTTTTAAAATATACAATATATACATTCTTGGAAATTTCGGATTTACAATTTACATCGGTTAAAATATCTGTAATTTGAAACCTGGCTGTGATTAATTTGGTTCTCCTTTTAATTGTAGTATTTTGTGATTTTGTAATTTTTAATTTTTAATTTTTAATTTCAGAAAAACCTGCCCGGTGCCCATGTGTCTGGTGGACTTTCAAATCTTTCCTTTGCTTTCCGGGGAAACAGAATTATCCGAGAAGCGATGCATTCTGTCTTTCTGTCTTATGCTACTCAGGTAAGCTTAAACTCTGATATATCAGTATGATATGGAAAGACTGACGAGAGTTCTGAATGTGTTGCTGACTGCTGACTGCTGACTGCTGACTGCTGACTGCTGACTGCTGACTGCTGACTGCTGACTGCTGACTGCTGACTGCTGACTGCTGACTGCTGACTGCTGACTGCTGACTGCTGACTGCTGACTGCTGACTGCTGACTGCTGAATATCGCACGTAGCTATCGCCATATAATGGAGGTCGTTAGTGTAAACCATATTCGTAAGTTCAAATGTTTTATTTCATAACACCCCTCATTCTGCAGTTTGGTCTGGATATGGGGATAGTTCACGCTGGGAATCTCCCTCTTCTCAAAGATATTGACTCTACTCTCAAACAACTGTGCGATGATCTCATATGGAACCGAAACGGCGAGGAAGTCACCGACCTCATGCTGCTCTACGCAGAGGTTTGTAATTGGAATTTGGATACTGAACGGTGTCATATTATTCAGTTGTTTTAAACAACTTATCGGTTTTAAGTTATAGTGCAAAGATTTAGAATTGGCGGTTATTTACAAATTCGAAGTTCCTAGCGTTTCAAATGGAAATACCGTGAGACCCTCTATTATTATTATCAGAGATCTCAACCGCCAGTACTAAATTGTTTACGCTAATATAAGATACCTAGTCTTGTGTTGTTAATTGTTTTATTTAATTTGTATTTTTGTGAGTCCTCTACCAGAGCTATTGCAGAAAGTTAAAGGTAGTGGGGGAAAGAAGAAGATGACAGACGATGATTGGTTCAAGAAACCGCTCGACGCGCGACTATCTGATGCCATAGTAAATGGAATCGACAAACATATAGTGACGGATGTTAAAGAACTACAGTTAACGACAGACATAGAACCTTTACAGATTATTGAGGGTCCCCTGCTAGATGCTATGGGGATTGTGGGAGATCTCTTCGGATCCGGGAAGATGTTCCTTCCTCAGGTGCTTTCAAAATACAGATCACAGTTCACACAATAAAACAATTAGCTAATTTCTTTATGAAGGTCAAAAATTGCGTTAATTACGTCTTAGTTTAAACTGACATTTCCTAATCAGTTTGTCTTTATTTTTATTGGAGCAATATGTTCAAGGTGATAAAAAGCGCGAGAGTAATGAAGAAAGCTGTTGCCTACCTCACTCCTTTTATTGAGGCATCAAAAGTTGAAGGACAGAATTACAAAGGTAACGATCAAGGATTTTTATCTGTCACGAAAAAGTCATTTTAAATAATCAAATTTTATGATTTTGCCTTCACTATATTTTTCCTGTGTCCACTGCTCCACGATTTCCTGCCCCAGATTTTACAGTCCTCTAAAATCTAAATCAATGCTAGAGTTGTTATAATAATGGGGATAGAGAGCAGGCCCATGAGTTGATATCACTGAACAACAGGATACAGCTCACAGCGCACTTCTTATTCTTGTTCCCTCCTTTAAAGGTACGATAGTGCTAGCCACAGTGAAGGGCGATGTCCACGATATTGGTAAAAACATTGTTGGTGTAGTGCTGGGATGCAACAACTACAGGTATTTATAATTCTCTACAGGTATTATATTACGCTGCTAGCTTTTATATAACTACTTATCTAATGAAGTTAGATCAGGATGAGCAAGTGTATCGGGGGGTTGATCTCTGATACCCTACTATATCTCTGTTGATACTATATTTCAATATAACTCTGCTGCAAAATTAATGGTTTGCCTCTACAGGGTTATTGATTTGGGGGTGATGTGTCCTTTAGAGAGGATACTGTCGACAGCAGACAAGGAGAAGGCAGACATTATTGGAGTGTCGGGTATGTGGAATATAATTAGCAGATTATCATTACCGAGTACTCCTTACTCCTTTCGCGAATAATAACCTCTACGGTTATAACCTCAACGGTTATAACCTCAATCATAACCTTTATATCATAATCTTAATTATAACCTCTATATCATAGCCTCAATTATAACCTCTATATCATAACCTCAATTATAACCTCTATATCATAACCTCAATTATAACCTCTAGTATAAACTGGTTTCCTTATCCCACAGGTCTGATAACTCCATCTCTAAGGGAGATGGTGAACATAGCAACTGAGATGAACAACAGGGGGATGACTACACCTCTACTTATTGGGGGAGCAACTACCAGCAGGTAGTGTGTGCTTTCTTAGTAGTGTGTGCTTTCTTAGTAGTGCAGTATCTTACAGTCGTCTCAGTGGTAACTACCAGCAGGTAGTGTGTGCTTTCTTAGTAATGCAGTATCTTACAGTCGTCTCAGTGGTAACTACCAGCAGGTAGTGTGTGCTTTCTTAGTAATGCAGTATCTTACAGTCGTCTCAGTGGTAACTACCAGCAGGTAGTGTGTGCTTTCTTAGTAATGCAGTATCTTACAGTCGTCTCAGTGGTAACTACCAGCAGGTAGTGTGTGCTTTCTTAGTAATGCAGTATCTTACAGTCGTTTCAGTGGTAACTACCATGCCAGCAGGTAGTGTGTGCTTTCTTAGTAATGCAGTATCTTACAGTCGTCTCAGTGGTAACTACCAGCAGGTAGTGTGTGCTTTCTTAGTAATGCAGGTAGTGTGTGCTTTCTTAGTAATCTTACAGTCGTCTCAGTGGTAATTTATTACGTATGTTGGTAATTACTGGTAATTACAGGTAATTGATTACCTCAGAGGTACTGCTTTGTCTCCTCTTTCATCTTACAACTACAATAACATTCTATTCAGGAAGCACACACTACAATAACATTCTATTCAGGAAGCACACACAACAATGACATTATATTCAGGAAGCACACACTACAATAACATTCTATTCAGGAAGCACACACAACAATGACATTATATTCAGGAAGCACACACTACAATAACATTTTATTCAGGAAGCACACACTACAATAACATTATATTCAGTAAGCACACACTAACATGACATTATATTCAGGAAGCACACACTACAATGACATTATATTCAGGAAGCACACACTAACATAACATTCTATTCAGGAAGCACACACTACAATAACATTCTATTCAGGAAGCACACACTACAATTACATTCTATTGAGGAAGCACACACTACAATAACATTCTATTCAGGAAGCACACCGCGGTAAAGATCTGGCCATCTTACCCCGACTTGTGTATCTACGTCCCGGATGCGTCCCGGGCCGTTAACGTGGCCACGTCCCTCGTTAACAAGGACCCGAAGTATATGGGGGACATTAGGAAGCTGTATGAGAAGGTGCAGCTGGATCACACCAAGGTTCTTCAGGTAGGAGATTTTTTTGAAATGAGTTTCCAGTTAGATACAGGTAGTTGTATTGCCGATCTTTTGGCAGGGCGACGGTTTACTTATTTTGAATTGAGTATATTTTTTACTGTGTCTGGTAACTCAGTAGGTATACCTACCTACTTAACTCGGTTTCTATTTTTACAGAAGAAACAAATAACCCCTCTACTAGACTGCAGAAAGAAGAGATTCCAATGCACCATGCCCACCCCTCCGACTCCAAACGAATTAGGTAATTATTTGTTTTATCACTTTATTATCAGACGAATACACTAATACAGTTGCCTGATTAAATATAAAATAACATACCGGGGTTACGTGTGTTTGAATTAATGTTCTAGAAAAGAAAAAAACAATTTCAGGGGTCCAAGTATTTGATAGTTACGATCTGAACGAAGTCGTTGAGCTGATCGATTGGAAGCCGTTTTTCGATGTGTGGCAACTTCGTGGTCGTTACCCCAATCGGTCTTATCCCAAACTATTCGATGATAAGACAGTAGGTACGTAAGTCTTGTAGTTGTACACTGTCATAAGCTGTAGTACATATATAATTATATATTACATTACATTTTTTTAAATGGTTGCCCCCCCCCCCCCCCCCCCCCCATTGTGATTTAATTTAAATATCCTAATGACCCACCAGGAGCTGAAGCAAAGAAGCTGTTTGGTGATGCTCAGGAAATGCTTGCGGAGTTGATGACGTCACTGGAAGGGAAGGCTGTGATTGGTCTGTTTCCAGCTCACTCCCAGGAAGATGACGTGATTATTCAGCACGGGGGACGGGATTTAACCTGTTACATGCTCAGACAGCAGGTTCAGTTCTAACCCTGTCTTTATTTCTTTAACCTATATACTATATAGTAATCCATTCATTACAAGTATGAAGACAAAACTGAGGAACCATATCTCAAATCAGTATCCATATCGCAGATAAAGTCAGGGAAAGAGGACGTGTACCTGAACACATCTGATTTCATTGGTCCACCTGGGTCACATGATCACATGGGCATGTTCTGCTGTTCTATTTTTGGCTCTGTTGCCATGGCAGCTAAGTATGAAGATGCGGGTGATGATTACAATAGTCTCATGGTTAAGTCTCTGGCTGATAGATTGGTGAGCAAACTATTTTCCACCCTTATTTATGTTTGTTCAAATTCAATACAATCATATATAAGTATTTAAGTTAGCTTTGTAGATTTCTCCAGATGTGATCTATATATTATTTGGGTTAAGTTTAGTTTTATTGTCACCAGGTTGAAGCATTAGCTGAGCATCTCCACGTGAAAGTTCGCACAGACCACTGGGGATACGATAACAACGAGGACCTGGACATCGCCGACCTTCATTCTGTGAAATACCAGGTACATAAGTACAGACGATTATTCGTAAATTATCATTGTCGGACCTTTATTAAACGCACCATTTTAAAATGTAGATTGTGGACCGATCTAAAAGCTCTTTTATCAGACCCTCTTGGAAAAAATTAGATACTAAGGACACCAGTAGGGAAGAGTTGTGACTATACATTAGAAGTTAGTAGTAGTACTATTTGTATAGTCCCACTGTAAATATCCTGACTCAGGGCACAAGGCCAGCCCCCGGTTATCCGTCCCTACCTGACCACGCCCTTAAAGACGTGCTCTGGGACCTTCTCAGCGTGTCCGGCTCCATTGGAACTGAGCTGACTGACTCGTACGCGATGTCACCCCCTGCTAGTGTGTGTGGACTGTATATTGCACACCCGGACTCCTTTTATTTCAACCTGGGACTTGTAGGACGGGATCAGGTGAGATTTATTCTTTACTCGTTAGTTCTGCTGCCTGTGTGCTACTTATTTTCCTTCTTTTAGTTTGGAATACTTATTTAATAGAGGTTATGGTTAACTCCACAGAATGTTAAATCAACCTATTTGAGTTACCACTTATCTACCGTAACTGCAATCCAGCCTTATATTTATAATAGTAGTAGTATACTACTACTATTATAATAGCTCTATACTTCATCAGGTGGAGGATTACGCCCAAAGACAGAATGTTAGTGCGAGTAGTGTTGAGATATCACTAGATACTGTGTTAGGATACGAGCCTGCCAAGAGATGATCATTCTCAAAGCTCAGCATACTGCAGACTTTGGTTTTTGGACTAAACAAAGTTACTTTTATTGTACCATATATTATTTAGTGTATAAAGCTGCTTTTGTATGGATTTTATTTTCTTAATCAAACCATTCATACCTGTTTGTTGGAAATGTGCCAAGTTTATAATAGTTGGATCGTGGCCAAACATTCTCTTGGTTCCACCATGCTTGTCTGTATTTTTGCGAGGTTTATATTAACTAGCTGTGTATGTACTAATCTCTGAAATGTTCATATCAATGTAAGTGGCACAATTTATTTAGATCATGGGGAATTATTATTTTGGTGCAACTTAAGTTCTTTTATGTAATACGATGGTGAATGTCATCATTATTTTTTTATAACTTATTGGTTCTTTTTATGTTTGGGAGTTCGTTTGTTGTTACTTTAATTTATTTCCTAATTTTATATACATAATTCATATTTGATACGATAATGTAGATAACCGTTTCCTGTTTGCTCATTGCTCCACCGTCACATCATACCCATAGTACATGAAAAATGAACATTTGGTATTTTAATTTTAATTTGTAATTTCCTAGTTATTATGTTTTTACCTGAAACGTTGTATCCTTTGTTGTCTAAAATATTATATTATTTGATAGTAACCTCTTCTTAATGTGGGCGCATTAGATTTTTCACTTAAACCATTCCAGCTTACAGATCAGAATTTTCTACCATATAATGTTAAATTTGTAAAAGTATAGACATAGTTGCTGTTAGTAACTAGGTAACTGTACTGTTAGTATAGGGAGACAGATGAATAATGTATGGATTAATTTGGAGCCGAACTTAATTCAACATGTCTTATTCTAAGCTGAGCTGCTCGTATAAATACCATGATGCTCATCATAATGTGGAGATCAAGGACTTGCAGACAATGTTTGAACCTAGGAAAGCGTCTAATATCCTTTTTAAACAGAGGCACATGTTTTTAAAATAGGTTATCTTCGCGAACTTTGCTGTGGGTAACAATAATACTGCACATTATACCGCACCAATACTGTATCATGCTAACTTTATCAAGATCAGAACAATGCCCAACCGGTCTCAGAGTGGGGGGTACCTCCCCCCCCCCCCCCCCCCCCCCCCCCCCCCCTCCCGCCTCAGAGTCCAACATTAAACTCAGGAAGAGCTGTGTAAGACTAGCTACTCTCACTAATGTAAAGAAACTAGGGACTCTATTTAGCGGGATTTAGCTTAATTCGTTATTATAATGTCTTATTCTTAAAAGCTTAAACAAAGAAGAAAGATATCTGGGTTTTAGGAATGACGAGAAATTAATATTATCGTTCGTTTCTGAGCTGAAAGAGTTAGCCATCCCATGTTAATAACACACCCTGTTACTCCGAAATCCCTTACTGCACAAAAAGCAAAAATTATTATTTGATCTTTAATGACTAACCACAGCTATCTTTGTCCGTATTAACGACTGTTCCTGCTTCATAGTCAGAACATGTTGCAGATCTAGCCTCACTGAATCTTCCTACTTCACAGTCAGAACAGGTTGCAGATCCAGCCTCACTGAATCTTCCTGCTTCACAGTCAGAACAGGTTGCAGATCCAGCCTCACTGAATCTTCTTGCTTCACAGTCAGAACAGGTTGCAGATCCAGTGGTAGTTCTAACAAATGGTAGATACTGAAGCTAGCGAGTCTAATAGGTGGTAGATAGGCTGTAACTAAAACAGTAAGGGTTCGGTTGGGGTTAGTGTTAGTTGGTTATGATAAGGCCACAGGGGTGCGTTATCAGTTGTAGAGGAGAATACTGAACTACGCATCAAAACTTCTCCTTCCATCAATTTGCACAACAAAATTAGAATTATCGATTTCATAATTAAGACTTTTCAATAACTGGTGTACGCTGAAAATTTTCAGAGCTGTGAGGTAGCAACACTAAACTATGAGCAACGAGGTTTCTAGATTTTTCTAGAACAAAGCAGAGTGAACATCCAGCTCCTTATCTGATGGCATCATCCTACTCTCTGCTCCTTATCTGATGGCATCATCCTACTCTCTGCTCCTTATCTGATGGCATCATCCTACTCTCTGCTCCTTATCTGATGGCATCATCCTACTCTCTGCTCCTTATCTGATGGCATCATCCTACTCTCTGCTCCTTATCTGATGGCACCATCCTACTCTCTGCTCCTTATCTGATGGCATCATCCTACTCTCTGCTCCTTATCTGATGGCACCATCCTACTCTCTGCTCCTTATCTGATGGCATCATCCTACTCTCTGCTCCTTATCTGATGGCATCATCCTACTCTCTGCTCCTTATCTGATGGCATCATCCTACTCTCTGCTCCTTATCTGATGGCATCATCCTACTCTCTGCTCCTTATCTGATGGCACCATCCTACTCTCTGCTCCTTATCTGATGGCATCATCCTACTCTCTGCTCCTTATCTGATGGCATCATCCTACTCTCTGCTCCTTATCTGATGGCATCATCCTACTCTCTGCTCCTTATCTGATGGCATCATCCTACTCTCTGCTCCTTATCTGATGGCATCACCCTACTCTCTGCTCCTTATCTGATGGCATCATCTGCATCCTACTCTCTGCTCCTTATCTGATGGCATCATCCTACTCTCTGCTCCTTATCTGATGGCATCATCCTACTCTCTGCTCCTTATCTGATGGTTCCCAAACACATCACGTGACAAGATAAGCCAGTTAGAACGACAAAGCAGTTACGGCCAACCAATCTTTTTTAAGTCTGCCATATTTCTACGTGGAGATTGCCCTATCCAGCTTATAACCAGGCGACGAGGCCTCCTTCCGATATTTGGCACTTAAAGTTGAACAAATTAAATTGTTGTAAGTCTGGACTTTGCCTGCTAAACAGAAATCTCTTTGTTATTCTATAAAAGCCTGGTCTTTAGCCATTGAAACGAGACTGATCTTCTCTCTAACCTGTTGAAAATCACCTGCAGCAGCTATCATAGCTGGGCTGTGGAACTGCATGTGGAACTGCATGTGGAACTGCATGTGGAACTGCTATGTTTATTATAGGTGATATTATAGGTGATACTTATTATACTATTAGCACACTAGATTACCTAATCGATAGCCTAATATGTATCCCGTACCGTCCAGTATATATATATAATTAATTAATTTGGGCGGTCGATTTCGATTGTAGTTTTGATTTTCAAGCGTATATTAAATATCAATCTTTCAAGTTTCAATCGACCAATGGGGACATAGTAACTCGGTTTACGGTATAGTTAAATGTAGCGGTTCAAGGTTGATTTCAATTTTGTTTATAGCGATCTTTTAAGCAATCCATCTTCTTTCGTGCTTTGTACGGATACAAAGAGAATTAGAACTAAAACAAAAGGTCAACCTGTTGCTCAGAACATGTGCTATTCTCCGCAATTTGTTTATCGCCCTCCTGTGATGCAGTGCTTAATGTTAAATCACTGAGACCCTGACGGGAAGAGAGAGAACACGATTAGCATTGTCATAGCAACACGATTAGCATTGTCATAGCAACATGATTAGCATTGTGCATTAAATTGTGGTGTGAAACATGTGTTACGTAAGACAGAAACCAGCTGACGCTGTCGAATCAGAGTAAATTGCTATCGTGGCAACTAGAAATCTATGGTTCATGATAATGCACCGGCATTAGGGTACCGGGATGCTTGCGATGAGTGTTTTAGATAAAATTTTCTAATGTAAGAAGCCAGAGAATGTAAAACCCCCCCCCCCCCCCCCCCCCCCCCGACAAAGGTAATACCACGTGACAGTCAGGCAGCAGGTTTTCTTGCTGTTTTAGAATACTTTTCTCAATCTAACAATTGAAGGCCAGATTTTCCGACTTCTAATCCAATCAGCACCTCCACAGGTGCGGTTCTTTAGAGCAATACTTTAAATGTTTTCATCCGCTCCAATTCTAAATTCGCGACATATTGTTCCACACGTTTAGTCAAAATGAAGCTTTCCGTAATTTTCGCACTTATTGGGCTTTCTCAGACTTTAAAGTAAGTAACTCATAACTTTAGAGTAAGTAACTCATAACTTTAGAGTAAGTAACTCATAGCTTTAGAGTAAGTAACTCATAACTTTAGAGTAAGTAACTCATAACTTTAGAGTAAGTAACTCATAACTTTAGAGTAAGTAACTCATAACTTTAGAGTAAGTAACTCATAACTTTAGAGTAGTTAACTCATAACTTTAGAGTAAGTAACTCATAACTTTAGAGTAAGTAACTCATAACTGGATCAATTCATTATATTGTCAGTAACTTTATGCAATATTACTACTAATGCTGGTTATCAGTAGTAGTATGGTGAACTGGACCTTACGTAATCTCTGAGGGATAGGGAACCCGGCCCTAATAACAATAAATAACAGTAACACCTGCAGCAACCTGAAATGGGACGCAGACTGCTCCAACCTCGACCCAGCTGCTGCCAAGCATGTTGAAGATAAGATAGCCGGCAGCAAGGTATACCTCATCGGCCTCACTTATTGTGGATGGTGTACAAGAGCCAAAAGTGTCATCCAGAAAATGGGTTAGAAGTTGAATTTCAACTTTCACTGTTTAGTTTCAACTTTCACTGTTATATGTTATAAATATAACATATAACAGTATGTTTTCTGGGTAAATATGTTATAAATATAACTATATCAAGTTCTCATTAAACTTCTATTTAAACTTCTCATTAAAATTCAGCTTTACTTGATGAATGGACAAATGTTTTAATTGGGCGCGATTGAGCTATAAATATATCATTGATTAACACCTAAAATACGCAGGATTTGACAAGAGTGATATTGAGGTAGATGTAACACCTAAAATACGCAGGATTTGACGAGAGTGATATTGAGGTAGATGTAACACCTAAAATACGCAGGATTTGACGAGAGTGATATTGAGGTAGATGTAACACCTAAAATACGCAGGATTTGACGAGAGTGATATTGATTAACACCTAAAATACGCAGGATTTGACGAGAGTGATATTGATTAACACTTATTATACGCAGGATTTGACGAGAGTGATATTGAGGTAGATGTAACACCTAAAATACGCAGGATTTGACGAGAGTGATATTGATTAACACCTAAAATACGCAGGATTTGACGAGAGTGATATTGATTAACACTTAAAATACGCAGGATTTGACGAGAGTGATATTGATTAACACTTAAAATACGCAGGATTTGACGAGAGTGATATTGATTAACACTTAAAATACGCAGGATTTGACGAGAGTGATATTGATTAACACTTAAAATACGCAGGATTTGACGAGAGTGATATTGAGGTAGATGTAACACCTAAAATACGCAGGATTTGACGAGAGTGATATTGATTAACACCTAAAATACGCAGGATTTGACGAGAGTGATATTGATTAACACTTAAAATACGCAGGATTTGACGAGAGTGATATTGAGGTAGATGTAACACCTAAAATACGCAGGATTTGACGAGAGTGATATTGATTAACACCTAAAATACGCAGGATTTGACGAGAGTGATATTGATTAACACTTAAAATACGCAGGATTTGACGAGAGTGATATTGATTAACACTTAAAATACGCAGGATTTGACGAGAGTGATATTGATTAACACTTAAAATACGCAGGATTTGACGAGAGTGATATTGATTAACACTTAAAATACGCAGGATTTGACGAGAGTGATATTGATTAACACCTAAAATACGCAGGATTTGACGAGAGTGATATTGATTAACACTTAAAATACGCAGGATTTGACGAGAGTGATATTGATTAACACTTAAAATACGCAGGATTTGACGAGAGTGATATTGATTAACACTTAAAATACGCAGGATTTGACGAGAGTGATATTGATTAACACTTAAAATACGCAGGATTTGACGAGAGTGATATTGATTAACACTTAAAATACGCAGGATTTGACGAGAGTGATATTGATTAACACTTAAAATACGCAGGATTTGACGAGAGTGATATTGATTAACACTTAAAATACGCAGGATTTGACGAGAGTGATATTGATTAACACCTAAAATACGCAGGATTTGACGAGAGTGATATTGATTAACACTTAAAATACGCAGGATTTGACGAGAGTGATATTGATTAACACTTAAAATACGCAGGATTTGACGAGAGTGATATTGATTAACACTTAAAATACGCAGGATTTGACGAGAGTGATATTGATTAACACTTAAAATACGCAGGATTTGACGAGAGTGATATTGATTAACACTTAAAATACGCAGGATTTGACGAGAGTGATATTGATTAACACTTAAAATACGCAGGATTTGACGAGAGTGATATTGATTAACACTTAAAATACGCAGGATTTGACGAGAGTGATATTGATTAACACTTAAAATACGCAGGATTTGACGAGAGTGATATTGATTAACACTTAAAATACGCAGGATTTGACGAGAGTGATATTGATTAACACTTAAAATACGCAGGATTTGACGAGAGTGATATTGATTAACACTTAAAATACGCAGGATTTGACGAGAGTGATATTGATTAACACTTAAAATACGCAGGATTTGACGAGAGTGATATTGATTAACACTTAAAATACGCAGGATTTGACGAGATTGATATTGATTAACACTTAAAATACGCAGGATTTGACGAGAGTGATATTGATTAACACTTAAAATACGCAGGATTTGACGAGAGTGATATTGATTAACACTTAAAATACGCAGGATTTGACGAGAGTGATATTGATTAACACTTAAAATACGCAGGATTTGACGAGAGTGATATTGATTAACACTTAAAATACGCAGGATTTGACGAGAGTGATATTGATTAACACTTAAAATACGCAGGATTTGACGAGAGTGATATTGATTAACACCTAAAATACGCAGGATTTGACGAGAGTGATATTGATTAACACGTAAAATACGCAGGATTTGACGAGAGTGATATTGATTAACACTTAAAATACGCAGGATTTGACGAGAGTGATATTGATTAACACTTAAAATACGCAGGATTTGACGAGAGTGATATTGATTAACACTTAAAATACGCAGGATTTGACGAGAGTGATATTGATTAACACTTAAAATACGCAGGATTTGACGAGAGTGATATTGATTAACACCTAAAATACGCAGGATTTGACGAGAGTGATATTGATTAACACGTAAAATACGCAGGATTTGACGAGAGTGATATTGATTAACACTTAAAATACGCAGGATTTGACGAGAGTGATATTGATTAACACTTAAAATACGCAGGATTTGACGAGAGTGATATTGATTAACACTTAAAATACGCAGGATTTGACGAGAGTGATATTGATTAACACTTAAAATACGCAGGATTTGACGAGAGTGATATTGATTAACACCTAAAATACGCAGGATTTGACGAGAGTGATATTGATTAACACTTAAAATACGCAGGATTTGACGAGAGTGATATTGATTAACACTTAAAATACGCAGGATTTGACGAGAGTGATATTGATTAACACTTAAAATACGCAGGATTTGACGAGAGTGATATTGATTAACACTTAAAATACGCAGGATTTGACGAGAGTGATATTGATTAACACTTAAAATACGCAGGATTTGACGAGAGTGATATTGATTAACACTTAAAATACGCAGGATTTGACGAGAGTGATATTGAGGTGGATGAACTGGACACTATGGATAACAAGATGGAAGTTATAAACTACGCTTACTGCAAATACAGCCAGATGAAAACTGTTCCTCAAATCTTCATCAACAAGAAGGTCGGTACCAAATAACCAACAATCTCTTAGATACTTGCTGCTTAGTAAATTATAAAGAACAAACAATTGGAGAGGGTCTGAAAACATACAATTGATAAGACAGGCCATTTGTTTCAGAAGCTTTTGAATAACTTGTGTTGATCGTCTCCTAGCTCCCTCTTCCCTCAGTTTGTGGGAGGCTACACTGAGGCCAGACACTATTACTATACTGGACAGGGGGTCAGGGCTGCCTACAAAACTGGAGCCATCCGAGGATACTACCTGTAAGTACTCTTTCCAGTTAACTAAGGATACTACCTGTAAGTACTCTCTCCAGTTAACTAAGGATACTACCTGTAAGTACTCTCTCCAGTTAACTAAGGATACTACCTATAAGTACTCTCTCCAGTTAACTAAGGATACTTCCTGTAAGTACTCTCTCCAGTTAACTAGAGGATAGTACCTGTAAGTACTCTCTCCAGTTAACTTAGGATACTACCTGTAAGTACTCTCTCCAGTTAACTAAGGATACTTCCTGTAAGTACTCTCTCCAGTTAACTAGAGGATACTACCTGTAAGTACTCTCTCCAGTTAACTTAGGATACTACCTGTAAGTACTCTCTCCAGTTAACTAAGGATACTACCTGTAAGTACTCTCTCCAGTTAACTAGAGGATACTACCTGTAAGTACTCTCTCCAGTTAACTAAGGATACTACCTGTAAGTACTCTCTCCAGTTAACTAAAGATACTACCTGTAAGTACTCTCTCCAGTTAACTAAGGATACTACCTGTAAGTACTCTCTCCAGTTAACTTAGGATACTTCCTGTAAGTACTCTCTCCAGTTAACTAATTAATTAGTCAGTCTCCAATTAATATTCAACAATTAATAAGTTAACTTATTAATTAGTTAGTCTCCAGTTAGTCAACAGCTAATCATGACTCATTTGGTAATTTCTAATAATTGTACACTTTTTCTAGTTACCTGCAACAGATCAAACAAGCAGCTATAGACTTTGTAGACGAGGGAACTGCAAGATCAAAGGGAAAGAAATACTTTGTTCTCTCCAAGACAAGATGCCCTCACTGTTTCAATGCTAAAAACTGCCTCAAAGAAGTCGGTTAGTAAAGTTAGCTTGGTGCATTTAGCGGGATTTTATCTTATTCTTAGGGATCGTTTAAATATTAAGTAAAACAAATATAAGTATAACCTCCCCTCTCCGTATTTAAGTTATGAAATAACTATTTTGTAGAAATTAAATTCCTTAAAATTAGGCGGAAGTTTCATATCCATCATGTGTAAAAACCATTTCAATAAATAGTGATATTGCGTGACTGCGTGCAGGAGTTACAGAAGAAGATATTGAGCTGTTCGAGATAAACGACTTTTACACTCACGACGAGATCAAGAAGTACAAGGGGAGAATAGCCGAGACTACCTACACTCCCTACCTCGCATTTGACGGCAAGGTGAGAAACCGATATATATATATTATATATATATATTTCATGGCTGGACTTCTACACAATAAAAGAAAGCGGTTGTGATTAGATCTTCGAAAGTCTTTGCATCGTTTATTTACATCAATTCTCAAATTATTTGTTATATAGTAGTGTTGAAAGTATATAAAAAAAAATATATATATAATACGGTGTCATACTGCTTTCAGGTTAAACTTAAAATTTGGAAATTATTAGTTTAGGTAGAGTGTTCGAGCATATAGACTGTTCTATCATACACACTACACTACTATAACAGTACTACGCAGTACATATTGTGTAATATGGGGTGAAAATATGAAGAACATTTGTGGTGAATATGCGAAGAATAAAGAGGCAAATTTAAAATTCTAGTCAGCTCCAACTAAAACACTACTTTCAGACTTTGTACAATCACGAAGAGCTTGTAAAGGCATCTGGCTGCTCCCCCCTTCACTACGGCACTGACTGAAGAAAACAGCTTGTCAATGTAGATTTTAATTTTAATTTAATCTAAATTTTGATTTTATTTATATATCGGTCTACTGTAACTGCAATTTTCGTCCTAAAAACTGTATTATGGAGTGGGAATACTGTAACTAGACTTGTATTAATATATAAATCTCAATTTAATTTAAATTAATTTAAATTTATAGCTCGGAATCAGATCATAACAAATAGTATAAAATATATCTCGTGATATCAATTCTGCTAAGGGGCCATCTACTTAGGCCGTCTAGGAGTAGGACGTCCGGCAAATAGGGAGGGGGTGGCCGTGGTTTTGGAATTTCGGACAAATTCGGACAGGGGGGGGGGGTTTCTAAAAATTCGAACGTCTGGAAATTTTGGCAGAATTAACGAAAATTTTCCATTAATTTCAACTCTTTGACACTAATTACTCAATGAACTTGAGTTGGTTTTATTTGTACTCTTAAAAGTAGCTGGAAATCCGGACGTCCGGGGGAGGGGTGGTTTTGAAAATTCTGACATACCCGGACAAGGGGAGGGGGGGTGGTCTGAAAACCTGCGATTTTGGCGGACGTCCTAAGTAGATGGCCCCTTAAAATGTAGAAATTTTTTAAATATTTGCAATAATAAAACGTTGACGCACGTTGCAATCCATTCCGGCCACAAAAGGCCTCTCTCTCCAGCCTATTTGATATTGCAACGTTGAATGCGCGCAATTTAAGGAATGTGATTTTTCAGAGATATAAATCATGATCGCTCGCAAGAACAAAAAGTTCATTGTTCCTAGCCTTGAGTCATAATACTAATAGTAATAAGACTACTATTGACTACTGTTGAGTGTGGACTGTTGCTGTCCGTATTTCACTTGGTGAGTTAGCTCTCCGTATCGCTCATAGTCTCACATGGTGAGTCTCTAAGGTGATCAGTTATATTTTTAGTCCATTCAGCTCGCGCTCCGTCCTTTCGAGCTCACCTCTCACGGCTCCTAGCTCTTCTAGGGTTGTATTCAGTTTCTCCTCAGTCCTGCTAAGTTGTCCAGTTACATTTGTCAACTTCTCTTCTGCCGCTCTCAGCCGAGCTTCTAATTTATTCTTCCACTCACACATCATAAACTCGCTTACAGATCCACTCCTCGATTGGGACAAAATGTGTTCCCATCGCAGAGCCCTAGTTCCAGAGAAATCATTAAGGTCCATACACAGCCCACCTTCTGCTATTTTCTTTACCTCGACCGAGCTGAGTGCCTCAGAGAAAATGTTAAACTGGTAAATCTGCCCTCCGAAAATGAAACGAGAATCTGTACTGTAAGAAAGTCTATTGAAGAACAGATTTCCTCCCATTTTCAGTGTTCTTCCAGAGGGCGTCGTACCTGTGCCTATCAAGTTACCATCAAGATACAGCTTGGTGCTCGTCGACGCTAGTGACCAAGTAATACAGTAGTGAAACCAGCTCCCGACAGGTGTTGTGAACTCACTTTCCTTACTGTTCAAATTTCGATCACCTCCTACATGGTTGTGATGCCCGTTAGAAGTTATCATGATTTCATTGCCTCCATTTACATGGTAGTTCAACACTTGCGGGTAAGGGGCAGAGGTGTCTACACGTTTCATCCAAGTACAGATGGAGAAGGAATCTTGGAACGGGGCCATATTAAAATTAAATCCAATGTAGTCATTACTGGAGGTACCAAAATGAAGAGCAGTGTACTGTTTTGAGTGCTTATCATCAGAGGCAACAGCAGGCAAGACGATGATGACGATCAACAAGAAAAACATAACTGCGGTTTGCGAGCGGGAATTGAAGCTATAAATGTTATTACACATATATATAATATATATCATTTATTAATAATAATAGTCAGCCAGCATGTAATGTAATTTTATCCTCAGACTCTGGCATAATTTTACAGTTAATGACTTCATGTAATTATATAGTGTGTGTGAGGCCTCCTTTTAATTCCTTGTTTGTTTGTTTAACTTTATTTATAGAACCCGTCCCAAATCTCGCATCGGAAAATGACTAAACTCAGTTCTGAGTGTGAATACGGGTGGTACCTGCAAGTGTGTTTATTAAGCATTTAGAGTTCTGTAAACTGCAGTTACAATTGTGTTATGTTAGAGTATTTTTAGTATTTACGATCGATATCACTATCAGATCTCTATCCCTACCGTGCTTCCAAAATTTAAATCTCCAACTTTCTGCAGAATGTAGTGGAATGTTTGGATAATATATATATATATCATATTTAAAATATGTATTCTGGGTAAAATTATCTTTATCCCGGTTGTTGCGACAAGTAAAAATGCTCTTATTAGGGAAAAGGAGATTACTCGACGTTTCAATGTAACTACCTTACTCGGGATTATTATAACCGGGATAAAGTGGTGGGTTTTGGAAGATTCCGCCATATTTTTCCCGGTCAAAAATTTTACCAGTCATAAAAAAACCCGCCGACTCAGATTATGGGGTTCCAAGGGGGTGGTGATCATCATATTTTACCTGAAGTCTCATATGTGCTAGAGAAGACTTTTGAAGCAGTGGATGGAGGGCTTTAACTTTATTGGCGGTTGCTACCATAAATTCGTTATAAAAATCACAATTTGTTTATAGAAATAAGATTTCAGGGTGGACCGTGATTCTCACTTTTCTTGCCCATGAAGTGAGTAAACTGTGCCACTATTTCATGGTCCACGGTGGATTGATTACTGGAGCAGTTGAAGATGCAAAGCCAAGACGTTCCCCAATACTAAGCGGTGGGCAGGAAATTAAGCTCCGGCTGACCTTCAGAGCAGTAGCCCCATTAGCGGACAAAATGAAAGTCTTGTTAAGACAACAATACAACTTCGAATTTGACGGTCAGCAGCAGGGGGATATCAATAATGATAATGAAGGGGATATTAGCGATAATGAGAATGAGAATACGCTTTAATGAAGATTTGACTTATTATTGCTATAGATTTATTTTCCTTTAAATACTAGACGTGTCTTTTTTTCTATTAATGAGTAATATCAGTAACTGTAAATTGAAATAACTTCTTTAACAAGTAACAAAAACAGAAATTTCGGTTGAAAATTTGTTGACCTCTGAAAAAAAAAACTTGAAAGGTCGGCCACCGGTAAATACATGACCGGGATAATTTGGCGGGTTTTGGGAAATTCCGCCATATTTTTCCCGGTTATTAATTTTCCCAGCCATAAATTAACCCGCTATAATATTCCCGAGTAAGGTACATCGTATTCATGATCTAAAAACAAGTGTTAACAATTCAAAACGTAAAAGAAATATATCTGAGGCAAAATTTGTGTACATTAATTTATTTTTAATCAATCAACTTTATCCAAAAATTCGATACAAAAAAGTCATAACAAAATTCATAACAAAATTAGTTTTATATATATATATATATATTCTACAAGCGGTACATTGACGACGCCACCAGCACAGCTGTAACAAGAGAAGAAGCTCTAGCACTTGTTCAGAGTATCGCAGACCAGGACCCTGACAAGAAACTCAAGTGGGAGGTAGAGTTTCCGGAGAACGACCAAGAGTTCATCCCATTTCTTAACACAGAGCTTAGAGTGGAACCTGATGGAACTGTGACGAGCCGCTTGTACCGTAAGCCACAGCAGAAAGACATCACACTTCACAAGAATTCATGTCACCCAGAATCTGTGAAGACGAACACCGTGATCAACCTGTATAAAGAAGCGGACAAGATCTCGTCAGGACCTCAGGAGAGAGAACATTCATACAGCATTTTAGACCGTCTCATGACTAGAAACGGGTATCAAACACCCAGACATTATTCCAACAGACGTCGTAGTAGTATTAGTAATAGAACAGTGCTTAAGTTAGATTTTATCTCAGACAGTATCAGTAACAGAATTAGGAATCATATTAAACAGAACAATTTACCTATTAAAGTTATATTTTCCCCAGCTAGAAAACTAAGAAATATTGTGTGCAATAACAGACCGTATGATAAGAGAACCTGTATTATTAACTCCTGTAAAATTTATCCTTTATTAATAACTGAAAATAAAGATTGTGAGGTGAAGAACGTTGTGTATAAGATTACCTGTAAAATCTGTAATAATATTTATATTGGTGAGACGTGCAGGAGGGCACACGATAGGCTCGGAGAGCACCTAAGATATGCTAAATTTCCTTTAACTCCTTCTAACACTAGTCAAGCTTTTGCTATTCATTATAACAGTTTACATAGGGGGTCAGAACCCAATTTAGAATTTGAGATTATAAAAACAGAAAGCAACACAGCTAGAAGAAAGATTGCAGAAGCAATGCTTATTTTGAAGTTCAAACCTAACATTAACAAGAGAGCTGAGTTAGAAACCATCAAACGTTTTTTTAGTAACAAGTACATAATAAACAGGGTGTAACATATTTTATACTTTACAGACAGGGGATTGTCTACACATATGTAGTGATATTTAGTGATATTTATAGGTTTTGTTTACTTTCTGAGTACAGGGACCACATCTCACACACGCACACTTCCGCCTCCTATTCAACACACTAACCCTTATAACATCAATCAAACCATATTAGGCTCCCACGTTTCACACTTCCATTGGTCAGTACGATTCCCGCCATTTTCACTCCACACTAGATACATACCTACACACTTCACATCATGCACCTGTTCACCGTTGTAAGCACTCCATGCTTCTGTATCATGTGTAGTATATTTAGTAGTAGTTTTAGGAATGTACAGTATTTACTATAAAAGTTTGTCGTCGTATAAAACTAATTTTGTTATGAATTTTGTTATGACTTTTTTGTATCGAATTTTTGGATAAAGTTGATTGATTAAAAATAAATTAATGTACACAAATTTTGCCTCAGATATATGTTTTTTACGTTTTGAATTTTTAACACTTGTTTTTAGATCATGAATACGATGTAGTTACATTGAAACGTCGAGTAATCTCCTTTTCCCTAATAAGAGCATTTTTACTTGTCGCAACAACCGGGATAAAGATAATTTTACCCAGAATACATTACAACAATGCGACTCAT